GAGGGGCAAATGCACAGGTAGGGGAAGGCTCTGAGGGGCAAACGCACAGGTAGGGGGAAGGCTGTGAGGGGCAAATGCACAGGTAGGGGAAGGCTGTGAGGGGCAAATGCACAGGTAGGGGAAGGCTGTGAGGAGCAAATGCACAGGTAGGGGAAGGCTGTGAGGAGCAAATGCACAGGTAGGGGAAGGCTGTGAGGGGCAAATGCACAGGTAGGTAACACACTGGGCCCTGGAGCTGAGCCGGGCTTGGACCGGACATGGGAGCAAAGGATGAGAGCGGTGCCTTCCCGCCTCCCAGGCTTCCTGCTCCCCACCCACGGTGGGCTCAAGTCTAAATGAAACTGGAAACGTTCCTATGAGGAAGTAGAAGCCGGAAGCTTATCCCCTCATGAGCTCACAGGCAGGGCCTGCTCCTGGCAGTCCCCCCCACATCTGTCCTGGGGCCCACCTGTCCTGTGGCATGTATGGCTCAGGTGCTAGTGCCGGCAGCACCTTGGTCTCCACACCAGTGACAGCAGCTCCCGGGTTTCTGGGCACTGCCTAAGCTGTCCAGGTCCAATCCCCGCTGAAGCTGGACAGGACCCCACAGAAAGTGAAGTCTCTACCGAGGAGGTCAACAACCCAACCTCAGCTGGGTGCAGGGTGTCCCCTGGCTCACGGATGACCTCAGATTCTCTAGGACACAGCTCCTCCCTCTTCCCTCTAAATAGCTGGAGACTCCAAATTCCTGGCATCAGTACTGCACAGCACTGATCTGAAGACAAGGCAAAGAGGAGAGGGCCTGTCAACTAGAGCCGTACTGTGTGTTCCCGGGAGTCTAAACAGTGCTCAACAAAGCCCTAGCAAGGGCGAGGATCCAGGGCCAGTTAATAGCACAAGCCCCAGTCAGGAGAGAGGATCCAGGAGCAGTTAATAGCACAGATCCAGGAGGAGTTAACAGCACGAGCCCTAGTCAGGAATGAGGATCCTGGAGCAGAACACTAACACAAGCCTCGGTCAGGGGTGAGGTTCTGGAGTGTACACCAGCATGAGCCCCAGTTAGGGTGTTGATCTAGGAACAGTTCACTAGCACAAACTCCTTTCAGGACTGAGGACCTAGGGTCAATCCACTAGTACAAACCCCAGCCGGGTGAAGATCTGGGGTCAATCTTCCACCATAAGCCTCCCGAGAGCCCAACAATAAACTTGGCTGGGTTCTTGCTCTGCCTCTCACACATGTCCTGTGATCACCTTGTGGTCTTGACCATGGTAGTGACCCTCTGGGCGTTGCCTGTGGAATTAGGGTCAACATGCACTTTGGGGTATTAGAGGATCCCACAAGGTAGTACAGGCACAGCTCCTGCACACAGGAGGCCTAAAAAGTCCTCAAAGATAGCATTTCCTTTTTTCAGAGGGTCATGGTCACCAGTCTGCAATCTGAAAGGGTCTGGGAACACAGCAATGGGGAGGACGTGGCCAGCAGGTGTGCTGACCCAGCACCAGGGAGGGATGGAGGGGGCTGAGCTGGGTTCCTGCTGGTGTGAGCAGGTAAGGGCCCAGAGAGCACAGGCTGCCTGCATTTGTGGGGCAGCAAGGTTGATACCCTAGGGTAGGTTACGAAACCCATCCCCAAGGAAATTTCCTGTTTATCCCTCAGCAAAGTGCTTGTCGTAGGGAGGCTCAGTGACATCTGGTCAGGGCGAGCACCATGTGGTTATAGCACACCTTCTGACCACAACTGAAAGACTCGCCAGCAGCCCAGATCACCGTACCCTGCCGTCAGCGGTCCTGCCCACACTCTGTCCAGCATGTGTATCTAACTCTCCTTGAGCCTGCCATGAGCTCACCACCCACTCCCGAGACCTGGGCCGCCCTCCTGGTTCCACACCACACTCGGCCTCCTGTCTCAGTTCAGGACCCTCGTCCCACACCCTAACTCTGCGGGGTGGCCCAGCAGCCCAGAGCAGATACTGCCTCATGCCCAGTGTGTGGCCACAGCCTCTGGCTGGTGCTAAGGGGAAATGAACATTCTGTGATGGCATCCACAGGCTGCAGTGTCACCGGGACACACACTCTGAGACCCTGGAAATAATCTGATCTGTTGTCAGCCTTTGCACAAGCTTCCTTTCAGGCACGGCAGCTGGAATTCACGGCCTTGCCAGTATCTGCAGCTGACACTCGTGGCCGTTCCTCAGCCTCCCTTAGGGTTTCATTGCAGTCCTAGGAAGGTGTGTGGGTCCCACTGAGGAGACACCATTGTTTTCATCCTGATGCCAGTAGACTGACTCGTGTTGGCTGAATGTTCTCAGGAACAGAGTCCTGATCGCTGTAGTCAGTTATGCTTCCGTGGGAATCTGGGCAGTCTAGGGATGCCAGGGGATCATCTGAGTCCAGAGTCTCTGCCATTGTGCCCTGACACCTGCCATCTGCTTCCGTTCCTTTGTGACAGCAGTCACTGAGAGAAGCGGCCCCCGTGGTGGTATCCAGGCTCACAGTGCAGGTGGAGGCTCACCAGCCCCGCAGGGCCAATAAACCCACTTGCTTGTTCTCTGTGACTTGGGAGGCTGGAGCCACCGGCCTTGTGTTTCTCCCTCCTGCTGGGAAAGTGCCCGGGCAGAATTGGTCCCCCGGCAGGTATCACCATCTTCCATCAGAGAATCTCTTCATGTTACTGATGACACAGATTAATTCTGAAGCCGTAGGGAAAGTGCAGGAAACGACTGTCTGCTGCCCTGTCTTGTCTTTGCTGTCCTGTCGTGGTCCCCACACGTGATGCCCTCCCTGGACACCAGGACTTCCTGATGACTTGTAGGATTTTGGTTCTAACCTGATCCCTGGACTTCCAGGAAAAACAGCAGACAGAGTAGGGAGAAGAGAACAGAAATTCCTCTCCTGGACATCCGCTCTGCTCGGTCCTGTCCCCGCATCCCCTGCCCGGCCCACACAACCCCATTAACGTTGCCTGGGCCCACAGCACAGGGAGGAGGGGGATTCCCATGGGTTTCTTCACACGGCCGTTTACCTGATGTCTGTGCCCTGTTAGTCCCAAAGCCTTTAACTCGGATACTTGGTTCTCGCTACGCACAGTGGCCATGTCCTGAAGTCCCCAGGGACACCAGTCTCCTGGGGACATGCAGGTTGGGTCCCATTAGCATCTGATCCCAGCACCCTTGTCAGTGACAGGCATACTGTTTGTTCTCTGCATGTCTCTGTTCCGAGGCACCTGATTCACTGGCGTTGAGCTTAGGGCCAGGGGCACCATCACTCCCGCCCGGCGTAGCACCTGGCACACGGCACAGGGCAATCTAAACAGCAAAATCCCTGACAACAAGCACCAGGATGTGAAAACTTGGCACTGAGTGGGCCGCTTGGCACTGAGGACACTGTTCGTGATATGAGCTGAAGCAAGAAGGCAGGGCGCGTGGCCTTGCTGGGTCTCAGCTGGGATGCAGCCGTTTCGTGTCTCCATACAAGTGCAGGAGCGCCAGTGTGCGTTCAGGGCTCACAGGGTTTTTGTGAGTGAGCAGATGGGGAAGCAGAACTGCTAGGGACGGGGTCAGCTCCACAGTAGCTGGGAAGTGAGGTACAGAAAGCCGGCTGCAGGGAGGATCAGCGCCGTTAGCGCTGCCCACACACCGCGCTCTGTGGCCTCTGTCTGTCCCCTCTGCTCGTGGAGCCAGCCACAGCTGCAGGACAGAGCTGAGCATGTCATGGCCAGGCTCTTGGCAGGCTCCTGCAGCCCACCTGGGGAGCCCCACCCTGAGGTGTTCCTCACCTCAGTGGCTCTGCTCCTCCACAGGTGACCGCACGGAGGGACAGCACAGAGGGACAGTGGGCTTCCAAAGGCAGGAGCTGTTACCAAAAACACTTCTTCCACTTTCCTCCTCAGGGGCGCGAGGCCCAGCTGGGAGTCCAGGACTTCAGGGGTTCCCTGGCATCACACCCCCGTCCAACATCTCTGGGCCACCAGGAGACAAAGGGGCGCCAGGCATATTTGGCCTGGAAGGTAAGACTCCGGCATGTGTGGGTCAAAATCTCTGGGGCAGGAGCCGTGATGGATGACTCCTTACTTTGGGGGTAGAACAGATGTTCGTTTCCACACCACATTTAGACCCTGGCCAAAGGGGCAGTGGCCACCATGGCTGATCCCGTGTCATCTCTGTCCCCTGGGAGCTGGGTACAGAATGGGGTGTCAAACTGCACTGGGCTCAGGACAGCACCACACACTGGCTCCTTCTCCACTATGCTGAGGCAGATGGGAAACCCAGCGTGCACTTCCCAGCCACATGACAGCTGAGTGCTGGAAGGAGGTGGTGCAAGGGTGACACTCCTGTCACACCATTACCTGTGCGTCCATGTTCCCTGCAAAATGAGAGGTGGGACCCACCCAAGTTCTCCGTCCAATGACAGGAGTCTGTGCACACAGAAGAATATTATTTGGTCTTAAAAAGAAGGGAGGCTGTCATGAGCTACAACCTGGGTGAACCTGGGGTCATCGTGCTAAGTGAAGTCAGCCAGTCACACAGGGACAGATTCCGCTGGAGTCACCACATTGGTAGAATGTGGGTGGCAGGCAGCAGGTGCCCGGGGTCAGGTGAGGGGGTTGGGGAACCTGTGCCTAGTGGAGGCCATCAGCGCCTCAGACAGTGAGAAAGCTCTGGAGGTAGATGTCAACCACTGAACCTGCTTACTGTGTCTGAGTGGTGCACTTGGAAATGGTGAAGCTGCTAAGTTTTATACATATTTTACCATGATGTAAAAATAAAAGAAAGATAAGCCTCAAGAAGTTACAGACCTGAGCAGGTAACTCTGCACCCAGCCACCTGCCCCAGGAGCCCCAGTGTCCCGAGGGCCATGGCGGTACCTCCTTGGGGCCTTGCTCAAACTCCTTTCTTATCATCCATGCCAACAGGGTACCAAGGCCGCCCAGGGGCACCGGGGCCTGCTGCTCTTCCTGGAACCAAAGGAGACGTGGGAAACCCCGGAGCTCCCGGAGTCCCAGGGACCAAAGGATGGGTTGGGGACCCAGGGCCCCAGGGAAGGCCTGGCGTGTTTGGCCTCCCAGGGGAGAAAGGTAACAGTGCCCGGCGGCCATGGTCATGGTGACTGGAGCCCCTCACAGCACGTGCGTGTCCCAACATTCCATTGTGTTTCAGGGCCCAGGGGTGAGCAGGGACTCATGGGCAGCACTGGAGCCACCGGGACTGTGGGTGACAGAGGCCCCAGGGGACCCAAAGGAGACCCAGGATACCCTGGTAAGTGCCATCTTCACGCTACAGGGCTCAGTGGCTCAGGCCACATCCTCTGTGAGTGTTCTGCCTCGGGCCTGGAAGCATCCCTGAGGCCAAACAGCCAATATCGCTCTGGCCCTGCCACACACTCTGAAGAACAGAGGGAAAACTAAGGCCGGGCTCCCAGTGCACCTGGGGGTGGGGGTGGGGGTGGGGCAGCCGGCGGAAGGAATGTTAGCAGTTTAAACAGCAGGTGCAGAGTGAATTCATGGTGGGTCATAATCCACCTCATCCCTGGAAAGCAAGATTGTTCCAGGAAGGCCCAGGGTGGGCTTCAGTGAGGTAGAGGTCAAAGCGAGGAGGAGGTCCTCAGTGCTTACGGGGGCTTTTCTTTCCCCTTCCAGGTGCACCTGGCCCTGCAGGATCTCCAGGGATTGCAGGAGTCCCCCCAAGGATCGCGGTGCAGCCTGGGACAGTGGGTCCCCAAGGGAGGAGAGGTCTTCCGGGGGCACAGGGCGAGATGGGGCCCCAGGGCCCCCCTGGAGACCCAGGTAGGTGCTGCACTACGGCTGCTGGGGAGGAGCTTGTCCCGTTCACTTCGTGTGCACTGTGGTCCCCTGACCAGCAGTGCTGGCCCCAGCTGGACTTCCAGGTACACTCAGCTTATCTGATGGTTTGCAGGTCTCCGTGGGGCCCCAGGGAAGGCCGGGCCCCAGGGAAGAGGCGGTGTGTCTGCAGTTCCAGGCTTCCGTGGGGATCAAGGGCCTGTGGGGCACCAGGGGCCAATTGGCCAAGAAGGTGAGTGACCAGTGGGGAAGGAGAGGGCAGGGGCCTCTGCAGGAAAAGGACAGATGAGTGCAGAAGAGGAAGAGATGGGCCGCCGCTCTCACCATGCCCTCCCCTCCTGCCCCAGCTTGCCTCGCTATCCGTGGGCAGGAGTCACAGTTGTTCCTGGAAAAGTTCTTGAGATTTGTCTTAATCCCTTGAGCTCACTCTGAGCCAGTGATGTGAGCAGCCATGGAGAAATTAAACACAGGGAAATAGCAGCCCATCCTCCTGGGTGTCCCACAGGGGAGACACACGTACATGGGAGTTGCACATCCAGATACCAAGTCCATTGGGGCAGGAGAAGCAGCAGGGCAGGGTGGAGGGGAAGGTCCTAGAAGAAGGGGCAGCAGCAGGTGTCCCTTGGAGGGGAGGAGCTGGCTGCTTTCAGCCTGTGCAAGGGCTGTTGTCTTGGAGATGGGTCACCCTGCTGTCCTCTGGGGCAGAGTGCCTGCTCATGCTACTGAATACAGAGTTTAGGTGAAACCCTTCCCAAGAGGCTCTAAAAAGACAGACTCGAGCTTGGGGAGGGACAGCCTCCCTCCCGGGTGTCCCTGCGGCTCCCCTGGGGCAGCTGTCTGTCTTGCTTGGCTCTAGGTGCACCGGGCCGCCCAGGGAGCCCGGGCCTGCCGGGGATGCCAGGCCGCAGCGTCAGCATCGGCTACCTCCTGGTGAAGCACAGCCAGACGGAGCAGGAGCCCATGTGCCCCGTGGGCATGAACAAACTGTGGAGCGGCTACAGCCTGCTGTACTTCGAAGGCCAGGAGAAGGCCCACAACCAGGACTTGGGTAGGTGGCCGCCTGCCCCCACTGCCCAGCACCCTCAAGGTCAAAGGCCATAGGGAGATCCTTGGTCCTCCTGACTGAAGACCTGGCCCACCCCCCCTCCCAGGGCTCAGAGAGGACCTTAAACACAGGAACCTCCCATTGAACTTGGCATCCACCCCCACAGGCTTGAGTGTGGCCTGAGCCACATGCTGCCCCCTGCACTGGGGCCACCTGGTGTTTTACCTCCTCCTCACTGTTTGTGCCAAGTTCTGTCCCCACCCCACCCCCAAGGTGTCCCAGGAAAATGGACATGTCATGTGTTTGTGTGTAGCCAAGTAAGCCTTTAAAAGGCATCGCAGTGACTTAAACACAGAATAAGGAAACAAACACAAAGTAAAAGTAGAAGTGGGGACGTCTCAGTCTGTGGTCCCCAGGAGGGCAAGATGTGAGGGGCACTCAGGACGCAGGCAATCTTGTTTCTGCAGTGCAGGGGACACTGGCCATTCAGCCTGTGGGGGCAGGGGGGTTGTCAAGCTGGACCCTTAGGATGTGTGCACATTCCAGTCCGTGAGGAGCAAAGGCAGACAAGCACAGGACCCCAAACACAGCCAGCAGTGGGGCCAGGCATCATCACTGTTTGCTGAAGGTGGGCGCACATCTGGCTCTAGGATTCCAAGCAGTGGACATGCAAAGGGAAGGCTGCTTGGCTGAATAAGCTACTTGGGTCCTAAGATAAAGGCCATCCTGGAACCCAGAGGCAGTGGTGCTCTTGGGAGGTGGGAAAGCCAGGGACTCCTCTGGAGGGCACCAGGGGCTACGGAGCCAGGCCCTTATTGTCGATGCTGTCAGGTTTCCGAAACATAGTGCTCACCCATAATCACAAAGACACAGCTCCTGCTGGCCCACCGTGGTCCAGGGGGCCACACCAGACCTTCTAGAAGAGCAGGGTTGCCCTGAAGTGCCAGTGGAATCTGCTCAGTTCTAGGAAAGGGATTGGAGAGTGCCAGTGTGGGGCCCCAGAGGCAGCTGACCCACTCTGGGCCTGGTCCTGGGCACTGTGATGTGGTGCCTCCGGGCCTGGCCAGGGCTGCAGAAGCTTGTCTAGCCAGGCTGGCCAGGACTCACACCCGTCCCCCACAGGGCTGGCGGGCTCCTGCCTGGCACGCTTCAGCACCATGCCCTTCCTGTACTGCAACCCCGGCGATGTCTGCTACTATGCCAGCCGCAATGACAAGTCCTACTGGCTGTCCACCACCGCCCCGCTGCCCATGATGCCTGTGGCCGAGGATGACATCAAGCCTTACATCAGCCGCTGCTCTGTGTGCGAGGCCCCGGCTGTCGCCATCGCCGTCCATAGTCAGGATGTGTCCATCCCCCACTGTCCAGCCGGGTGGCGCAGTTTGTGGATAGGATATTCCTTCCTCATGGTATGTGGCGTCTGCCTGCTGTCTCAGAGCATGGGACCAGGTGGAAATCTAGTTCCTCTCTGCAGCCACCCCTTGGCTGGGGGCACAGCAAGAGCTGTAGCTTTTGTAAGAATAATCAGTTGTTCAGGTTGTGCACAGCAGAAGGGCAGTTGGCCCGGGGCTGAGTGAGAGAGAGGTGGGATGCTGCCTGCACTCTGCTAGCTAGGCCGTGCACCAAGGCATGGGGCTGCTCCCCCGGAGAGAAGGCCCATTAATTCACCACCAAGTCTTTGTTATCAAACTTAGACACAAAGCTGTTTCTACTTTGCCAAAAGTTCTAATATAGAACTTTATGTACAATCCTAAAAATCTTTTTAAAAAAA